TTTTAAGGCTTGATTAAGGAATTTTCGTTCTGACCTAGAGAAATTTTCTGTCTCGAGTATCTTTTCAGTGTAACCTCTCTACCCACCCTTGTGTGAAATTTGCTATTGTTTATTATTAAAGATAGGAGCCTCTGAGGAATAGAAACTGATAGTCAGACTAGGCCACTGGGAAAGAAGAGTTCATGTGAAAATCCCTTGGGTAAGAGAACTAGCTCAAACATTCTTGTTTAAAAGAGTACAGGGACTTTAATGGCCGTTACTGTGACTTTAAAATATTAGTGAAAACAAGTATTCTTAAGCAGTATAATTTAAGAATTATTGCATGTTGATGTGTTACTTTTTTTTTTTACTTTCTTACACTTAGATTAGATTATAACTTTTGATTATTTTCAGTGTATCTTTGACTTTGGGTGACATTTAATTTTGTTATTGCTTCAAAGTATAATCAAGAACATTGGAAGAAATGTCAGTAGATCAATCTTAAAATCCTCATTGGTGAATATTTCCAATAAGTTAACAAAGTCTAAAGCTACTTAGGACTCAGTCCAAATCCAGGCCTCTACCTGGTACTCTTTTCACTAGTCTATGCTATGTAGTCAGCAAACTTTAACTAGCTAGCCACATTCCTAACTTTCATATAAATAGATCACAGTTGGGAACCAACATATAATTGATCCTACAGGGCTCTGCTTGTCTAAATTCTACTTTTCTTTCAAGAGCTGAGTCATACATTTCTTCTCTTTGAAATATATCTTGTTACCTGCCTCCACACTCCCACAGAGCTAGTTTGAGCTTGCTCTCATTGCTCTGAATTTTCAGGATTACCCATTCTTTGCTTTCTATTCATTATTTAATTACTTACACATTACATCTTTCCCGTGATTTCTGGTTCATTGTGGAAGGATCTTGGTCTGATTCGAATATGCTTTCTAATTTTTAAGACCCAGGGTAACAAATGTTTTATTATTTCAGGTAATGCTAGGGAACTTTAAAGATGTTCTTAACAGAAGTTCTATGTAAATAATATTCCAACTAGTGCTTTGTTCTGCTGTGTGTTGTGTTTTTTTGTTTGTTTGTTTGTTTTTAAGTAGACTTAACTTTAGTAATTAGAGATGGGTTTTCATCACAGACTCAAAGAACCTTAGGAAAAAAGACAGTCCCACATACACAGAACATTAAACTGTGAGTCAGAGTAGTTCATTGCAGTGTGCCTTAGACAGGGAAGACAGTCCAAGAAATCGTGACTCAATCTGGACCTATAAAGGCAGAGAGGATGGGGAGGGCATTCAGGTGCAGACCAGGTTGAGCAACACTTGGAGCTGGGAAGGTGCCCGGAATGATGAAAGCAGGCTATAGGAAGGCCATGGTGACAGGAGGAGGTACCTGTCAGACCTTCCTTCACTGCCATCCTTTTGAAAGCCAAGTTCACTGTGGACAGAGTTGTTCCTGATGCTCCGCCTCCCTGCCTGTGCAGCTGGGCTTCTCTCCTGGCTTTTGCTAGGAACTCTAAGCACTAAAGTTCCCAGTTATCCCATGCTAATAAATCCAGTATGTATTTTTTTAAATATGTTTTTATTGATTTCAGTGAGGAAGGGAGAGGGAGAGATAGAAACATCAATGATCAGCTCCCTCCTTCTTGCCCCCTACTGGGGATCAAGCCTCAAACCTGGGCATATGCCCTAACTGGAAATCAAACTGTGACCTCCTGGTTCATAGGTCAACGTTCAATCACTGAGGCATGCCAGTTGTCTCAATATATATATATTTTTAATACTTACCTTTAAAAAAAATAGAATCAATTATTTTAAAAGTCCAACACAAGTAATTCTGATATAAAAATCCATTTTCTTCCTTGGTGGTAAGAACTTTTTTCCTTTTCAATTATATGCCTGAGTATCTCATCTTTTGTGGATAGTATTCATTGAGTTCATTCATTCTGTAAATATGAGTGGCTCCTACGCGGCAGGCATTGTCCACTTTTGCAAACATGTGACACCAGGTAGTAGAGACAAGTCCCTACTCTTTAATGGAAGGAGATAAACCAGGATGTCCCTTGCTGGTAAGCCCTAAGGCAAAAAGTAAAGCCCATAAATAGAGGTGTTATCTTAAGGTCAGGAGGAACCTTGTAGAGGGTCCTGAATCAGGAATGTTCTAGGTGTTTCCAAGGAAAAGGTAAGAGTCATAAGATTGGAGTGCAGTGAGCCTAGGGAGAATGTGGGAGCAAGAAGACTGGAGAGGCCAGAGGACAAGGGGGTACACATGACAGGACTCTAGAGGCTGTTCTGAGTGCAGTCTGAAGACTTGGGAGGGTGTGAGAAATGCCGTGATCTGACTTACACTTTAAAAGAATCACTCCAGCTGCTGGGCTGGGACATGGAGAACAGAGTGCAATGTGACAACATTGGGAGCAGCGGGGCTTAGCAGCTTGAACAGAGGTGTTGGGGGAACAAGGCAGTTGGTGGATTCTGGGTCTATTTTTGATACAGTAAAGAAATGGAGAAATTTATCCATGGGTTGTATTGCATGTATATGAAAGAGGGTATTTTTGGCCCAAGCAACTGAAAGCATTGTGACTTACTGAGATGGGGAAACTTGGAGCAGAAAAGATTTGGTTTGGAGAATCTGGGAAGAGGAATTGGAAGTTAAATTAAGTTGGAGACTCATTAGTCATCTGAGTCCCTTTACTTTCCTCTGCCTGAAATATCAGTTATTTCTTATCTTTTCCTGTGTTTCTATTCACTCCCCCAAACTCAACTGTTCCCCATCTGTAAAACATTTCTGGGTTCTTAAGAAAGTTTCTCTTCCTATGAACTTTAGCAGTACCATTTGCATACATTCTTATATGAGAGCAGTCATCAGACTTCACTGTAATTTCATACATATCTGACCATCCTTTTGGATCACAAACCCTTTAGGGGTAGGGATCTGGGTCACATTGCTACTGGAAAGGGGCCATGGTCCTTAGTGTGTCTGCCTAGGGACAGGCTGGTAGTGTGTGGATTCTTGACTTTGTGCAGGAAAAATTTCCAGGTGAATTTTAGAGGACGTTTATTAACACTGGGGGCAGTGAAACAAGGGCCTAGGGCAGTGGTTCTCAACCTTCCTACTGTCGGGACCCTTTAATAGTTTCTCATGATGTGGTGATCCCCAATTTCATTGTTACAAATTGAACGTAAATTAAAGCATAGTGATTAATCACAAAAACAATATGTAATTATATATGTGTTTTCCGATGGTCTTAGGCGACCCCAGTGAAAGGGTCATTCGACCCCCAAAGAGGTCGCGACCCACAGGTTGAGAACCGCTGGCCTAGGGTATCAGGAGAGGGACTAGGCAAGGAAATGAGCTTAGGCCGAGCTGCTTTGGCTCACTAAGAAGTCAGAGAAAAGGGGGCCTTGGGACAGGCCCAGGGGGTTAGGGAAGAAAGGATTTACTAGGTGGCTGCAAACTGCTTGTTGAATTATGTGTCTCAGTTTCCCTATTCCTCTTGCCAAGGAATCTTTCTAGCTTCTTACTATCCTGCCTCAATATTGACTTTCCATCCCCAGTGCTTAGCTGAGTCTGCCACATGATTGTGACACGATAAATGTTTGCGAATATGTGAAGGGTCAATGTCTACAGATTAAACATGTTTTGAAATTGGTTCAAGTTTTTCTTCATATAGATTTTATGAACTTATTCTATTTATTGTAACACTTTTAAATATTTATTTCAAATCTTTTCTGAAGTTCAATATATCTTTCAATTATACTTCAAGGCCTATTATTTTAGAAAATTCATAGATGTAGGAACCTCACTTCTGTTTTATTCATGATGCTGAGTGCGTAAAGGTGGTGGTATTTGTGAGACGTTAAATTTTGAAAATACTGAAGACTTGGATGTTATGTAGTTACTAACAAAGAAGCCCTTTTACTTGTTCGATTTGTATTGTTGCCTAGAAAATGGGGAGTGAGAGGAATTAAAATTTTATATTTTTCCTGAATGGAAAGCAGTAGTTGTTTTTCCAAAAGCAATCAGCCTTTTTTTTATAAAGATAACATTTTCAAAAACTCTAACTTGCAGTACTTTAAAAAGTATATGTGTCATTACTTATAGTTATTTTATATTTATATTTCACTTTTTCAACCCATCAAATCATTGAATTGGCCCATGTGAATTTTTTTCATGATGTATACTACCTATTTCTTTCTTTTTTTATGGGTGAGAAAAAGATCTATTCCAAGTGCACGATACACCAACGTATACTACCTATTTCTGTTGTAAATCTGTTAAAGACTTATTCTAGTAGGTGGCACTGAAATATATTTACTCAAATAATTATTTGTAATATTTTTCATTGAAACAGCAATATAATTTATCAAATAACCAATCAGACTTTATTGATTATTGCTAAGTGCAGTGGGAAATACAACATGTTTTAGAAAAATATGTTACACTTACGGAATCTGTTATATGCAACCTATAGGGTGAGACTGTGTAAGGGGCAGGAGGGAGAGGGTTTCAGCTGGACTTTAAAGGGTAAGTAGGGTTTATCTGGATAGAGAGGTAGAAGACACAATTGGAAACAAATAGAATGAAAGGCACAAAGTCAAGAGCTATTATGAGTATGTGATGCAGATACTGATCTCCACCCAGAGGCAGTATAATTTATCTTATCAAAGAAAATGGTATACTTTTGCTTTGCTATAGTAAGCACACAGTAATTGAGTTAATGGAGGCAAATATTAATCTCCTCATTATTATTTTGTTTCTTTTTATTATCAAGTAGTATAGGCAGATTGTTGAGAACAACAACAACAAAAGTGCTGGCAAAAAAGGCAAAAAAAAATCCTTATTTTCATTATTCTTATTAAACTAACAGTTAACATTTTGGTGCATTTTTTTTCCTAGATGTGAAAAACATATGCACACACATTTTGTGTTTTTATTAAATTAGATCACATTAGAAATTTACTTTGAAAATACATGTATTTCATCTTCTGCCATTGTTTTTATTTTAGGAGAAAACCAAAAGCCAAGGCACCCCTTCCTCCAGCTGAGACCAAAAACCTTGATGCCTCTCCAGTTGATGATGCTGTAGAATCCTGTGCTTTCGTCATGGAACAGAGAGAAAGTATGATAGATAAAGACATTGAACTCACAGTGGTTCTACCTGGGGACATTATCAAATCTACAACTGTTCATGGCAGGTATGCTGGAGCTAGCGAAATGCCAGGACTTCCTTTCTGCTGTCATTCAAACCCTCTGCTGTATATTTCTTGATTTTTTTTCTTTGACAAAATATTTCATCACTCAGTTTGGTTATTTAAAAAATGCTAAAAGGTATTATCTTTTTTTCTAACAATGTTTTGATATCAGTACTATGAATTCCACCATCAAAGGCAACTGACTCTTAAAATTTTGAACTATTTTATAGTTGTTAGTCATTTAGTATGTTTTTTTAAAAATAGCCTTTCCCAGAGGAACAGTTCCCAGTTGTATTGATTTCCTAAGTCAGACTTAGAAAAGCAACTCAGTGACCCATAAAAAAAACAACCCCTTTCTCTTCCTCTCCAAATTATGCTTTTTCTTTTAAGCAATTTCCCTGAATTTGATTTTTCAGAAGTTACTAACTACTCTTAAAATGTAATGATCTCCTATTTATCAAAACAGATAAATCTATCTGTGAAACTAGCAGTATTTTTTTATACCACTGAATGGCTAATTAATTTCCTAAAACTGTGGATAAATTTGCTAGCCATATAAAACTAAACTGTAACCCAGCAAGAAGTGAAGATGTGATTTAGGAAACTGACATTTTTAATACCTATATAATAGTTGGAAAAATGGAATAAAACCAAGTGTAATTTTCCATTTCATTTTCAAGTGGAAAGTTACGTGAGTTGTATGCTTGGTCTTGTTCCACCTTTCACCTTAACCACCGTTTGTTATCAGAAATCCTGTTTTAGAAATTTAAGCAGTTTTGATCTTAGTAGTGTGTCTCTCTCTCTCTCTCTCTCTCTCTCTCTCTCTCTCTCTCTCTCTCTCTCTCTCTCTGTGTGTGTGTGTGTGTGTGTGTGTACCAAAAGAATAAAAAAGCAACATATTGGGTATTGCATTCTTAAATGTGGTTTCTATCTAGATGAAACTCATTCAGTAGAACCTTGATCTTAAAATTTATCATCAAGGCTATGCATAACTTTACAAATTATTGAAAGTTCATGAAAATAGAAAAGTTCAGCATTGGCAAACAATACTCTGTTGAGTATTAAATTCTCATTAAATGTAAGTAAGTTGCATTTTGCCAATTATTTTGTATTAAAAACAGTTTGGGAGATCACACATTGAACCATATTTAGGAGGTTGAAAAACCTGTGACTTCTACCTTAGATGCAGGTGATCACCTGCAGGTTGAGCCTCTTCTGGGTGGGAAGGTGTCCTGCAAGTTAGAGACAATGGCCATCATCTTTAATCCTTGAAACAATACCGTTACCCTGGTTTTAAAATAATGACAATGGATGTGGCTGGAGATAATAAAGGCAATTCCTCTTTTTTTTTTCTTCTGAATTTAAAGTAAGTTTTAAAAAGTCAGCATTTTTCTTGGTTCTTCACTGATGCTGACAAGTAACGATAGTTTCATTATCAGCACTTTAGAATTTCTTCCCGGATGCATCTCTCAGGTGTTTATTTTGTCATCTTCTCTGCTATCAGTCTTCTGCATTCTTTAGATTTTTTTAAAAAGTTCAGTGACTTTAATATTAGAATCATGGTTTTCCCCTCTCTCCTGTCTACCATTATAATAATTGTAGCCTTTTCCACATGCTACCCTAAGCCAACTTTTCTTCTGTTTCCTTAACTCTGGGTATCTACACCCATAGTCCCCCACCCCTCCCCCAGGATGGTGGTCTTTCAACATGGAAAGCTGTCCCATTACTGTGATCTTAGGGTCTCTCTTTGAATACAACCTTTTTGACATCTAGCTTATCCACTTCTCTTTCTTAATTATTTGTTCTTCATTCTCCTTATTTAGTCTAATATATGACTGCTTTTCAGGCTGCTGCATTTTCTTCAAATTTAACTTGGATTCTGCAATAGTCATTTCCATTATCTTTGTGTTTACAGGGGCTGTAGATTTTCCTCTCTTTTCTCATCTTCCAGCAGGTTTGCCTTCCCGGTCCCTACATCTGAGTACTTTCCATCAATCAGCTTTTTATTTCTGGGCTGCCAACTCTTGTTGAATTGCCTCAGTTTTCTTATCTATAAAAATGTTTTATAACTGAGTCATTAGGATTAAATGAAATACTATCGGTGCCTGGCACATACTGGCTTCTTTTATTTTCTATTGAGAACTTCTTTCCTTAACCCTGAGCTCTCTCTGTTTACCCTCCACCCTCAGATTATTCTAACCACCCCTCTGTTTGTGGCACTATCCTTCGTTGTTGTTAATCCTCACCTGAGGATATTTTCCATGAATTTTTTAGAGAGAGTGAAAGGGTGGGGGAGTGACACACAGAGAGAAACATCAATGTGAGAGAGACACATCGATAGGTGATTGGTTGCCTCCTGCATGCGCCCCAGCCTGTGCCAGGGATCTAACCTGCAACTGACCAGAATCGAACCTGAGACCCTTCAGTCCTCAGGTCAATGCTCTATCCACTGAGCCAAACCAGTTAGTGCTGTGGCACTATCTTGGTAATAAACACACACACACACACACACACACACACACACACACACACACACACACTGTGCAGGAATAGCAATTCAATACAAAAATAAAGAAGTA